AACACGGGTTTCTATCCGGAAGGTCATTTAACGTCTGGTTGTTGATAGCCTGAAATATCTGGACTCTCTGTTGAGTGGGAATAGCCCGTTCGTATAGGTGTGCCTGACTTTCCTAAGGCATTTAACAGGGTAAACCGCGATATTCTGCGTAAACACTTCAGTTTATGGGTGCTTATGTGTTGGGCTGACAGGCTATTTTGACACGAGGTTGCGTTCAGTTGGAGTTGGCTCGGTGGTGTACTTCAGGGTTTTACTCTTGCTTCTTTCAATGATCTACCAGGATCCCTCACTTCTCACTCACTGTTGTATGCCGATGGATATTCTGGCTGTTGGTGAGAACCTGTCAAAAATCCTAAATTGAACTGGCAAATATAGAAATAGTTTTAGTTCTCATTCGCTGAGTGGGATAAGTATCTGTCACTCATGCGTTGAAAAAGATCCAGGAGTTACTTTAAGTGACACGTCTGAAGCTTATACGCGTTGTCACCTAATAGCCAACGGGACCTGCATAATCCTGGAGTTTCTTTTGAGAAATTTAAGGAGCTTATACCCAGCCGTCTTCACGACAGCACATCAACTTTATATTCGTCCTCATCTTGGAAAAACCCACTTGTGATGTCCCATACCCGAAGAGGAATACAGCCACCCTGGAACGGATTCGCAGAAAAGCTACGAAGAAAATGGTCGGGTTATGGTACGAAACGTACCTGGATCGCTCAGCGGCTCTCAAGCTGCATCCAGTACAACACCGGAGGATCAGAGGGTATTGTTACAGACCAATTCCCTGATAATTTCAAAATGAGGCTAGATGAGCACCTAGATTCTTGTGGGATCGGTGAGATATGCTAGAGAAGCTTTCCGTCATCTATTGATCAGGAGCAGTAATACTACCTTGAAACCAGATTAATGATTATCGATTACCTCTATCCTTTCAGGGTTTTGGAATCAGGAAGACAAATGTTTCCATTCTGGACCTAAGGCATAATCCAGTAAGACAAAAGTAGAACTCAAGGAACCATCTTTCACCAATCCCAAAGCACGGAGATTGCAGTTCGTTGTTGTAGTGTTGCGTGTCTAAGGGCGCAATATACCGTTGGCGACGCTACCGTCCTGTCACGTAGCGCCTTCAGAACTTTACTCACTCACTCTCCGGTTTTGATTTCTATGCTGTCTTACCCCTATTTTGTCCAGCTCTACAGTTTACCAATTATCCTTTATCATTAAGTGTAAGTAAATCCAGTATACTTGTTGAGTCCTCGGCTCATGGTCTTCGCTTTTTCTTTTCTCTTCAAGATTCTCGTGATCACCACTAAACTCATACTCTTCTACGTGCCCCTTGTCTACTTATCTACGGGCTAAACAAAAACTTAACAACTAGTCTTTAAATCCAGTGTCGCGGGACCTAAAAGAAAACGTAATCGCACATTCAAATGACAATCAGCTTGATGGTGTGGGAAAGATAGGCTAGGTTTTTGGAATTGAGTATGATTTTGTGGTTGAATGGTTTGTGTTCTTTTGTACTGTTGTTGGTGAGGTCATTCTGAAGTTGAATATGTGTTTTTCACTTGATAGTAGGCAACATCGTTCGCCTTGTTGGTTATTTTGAGCGTTGTTATAACAATGAGCCTGGCAAGATGTAGCTTGTTGCCAGAGGGAACCTTGGGATGATTGAGTATGAAATCACGGGCACCTATCACAACTTTAACTCTGTGTGACTGCACAAGTCCACACCGTGCCGTTTCTGTTTCAGCGCACTTTCAATATGGCCCCAGGGGTTGATTAGCTGAATGCTCCCAGTTGGGCAAATGAACGTGTACAAAGGGGTGCATCTCGCCCTCTAAGCCACGCTGCAGTTTCGACGTCTGAAGACGAGTAGCTGTCAGAGGATGATCCTATGTCCTTATGACTTCCTAATACAGGAGACACTGGTTGGCCTCACACATTTATAGCAACGTTCATCTCCCCCAACAGAAGGCATCACGCCAGTAAAACGCTGAGATCGCACTACCACAAAATGAATTGGTTACAGCAATTCTAGTCTCATTACAGACAGCCCTACAACTATTTTGTGATTGTCCGTCACCAAAGCCCTCGTTGGAACCAAAAGTATCGGAATCATACGGCCTGAGAAATTTGCACCCGACCAATCCTTCACTCTATGTGAAGACCAGTGCCATCGCTACTTGCAGCAGTCGTCCGCCGGACAGCCAGCCACTGCTCTAGTAAGTGTGCTATTTCTAGAAGCATGAAAAAGCCTTAAGTTGGCAAGAGTTAATTTGATTTCGAAAGATAATGTGGAGCTGTTTGTAAATATACGGACAGCATTTGCCTCACGACTTCACGTTGTAAAACACATGTCACGCCTGTCATCATTTAGACGGTAAAACTACGAAGGAATATATGGCAACTTCAAGAGCTGGCTTATTTGGCATTCCTAGATAATTCACTTAGCTTAGTTGAAGTTCGTGTTCTACAGCAGTTTAAAGAGGGCTTACATCATGATGAAGTATGTGAGAGAATTCTTGAACGTCATGCAACATGTAGGACTAAAGCATTACGATTAGCTAGAGAGTAAGAATTCTTGTTGAAAGCACACCGAAACAGGTGGCACGATATGTCGTTACACGGAATCGGACCAACCAGTCCTGAAAATGAAGCGTTGGACCTATACCGTACTGATGTTGCAACCTGGGCATATGCAGGGTAAGGGCAGACTGCACTTGGTCCAGGCATAGAGTAACAGCAACAAGTTGGACGACCCTAACTTACTATCAACACCCATCTGGATCGTCTAAGTGGTTGGTGAGACAACCGAACAACGACTCTGAAGAGAATCTGGGTGAGTTGCCTTTTGTTATTACCCATGTTGTGTCTGGTATTACTAAGGTGCATGATTACCTACCTACTGTTTGCGTTTGTGTACAAGGAGTGATGGTGGTTGGCTTGATCAGTACTGATATAGCTTGCATTCTATCACCTAAAGGAGTAGTACCATGTGCAACAAGCCACTGTCAAACTTGAAGCTGCAAGTGGTGCAGGTGTGAGAGTGATGGGTGGACTAGACGTGCTTTGGACAGGCACAAATGTCTGTTTGTGTTTACGTAATAGTGGATGGCCCAGCATGGTAGCAGATAGCTGATTTGCTACGTCAGTGCTTGGGACAGATTAATAGTCGGAATCATGTCTATGTATTAGGTACCAATATAGAGCTGGGAACAATCAGCGAAATTACTCCTTTGTGGTTGTGTGAACGTATTAGAAACATTTACCAACAAGGACGTACTGAATTATGTTTCCATAGGACATGGGATTACAATTCAAAAGGTCCCTCCCTAGAGATTATAGATACCATAGTTTGGAGATTAGAGGAGTTGATATTGACCACAATGTTAGGACCTAGAGTCGATGTAGCTGAGTCCGTACTGTTAAGACAAGCACCTCGCCGCGTGCCTACAGAGTTACAACCTCAGCTTGCGAACATGATTAGAGAGATGTTGCAAGCAAGAATCATGCCTTGCCATTCTTCATCGGGTTCCCCTGTTGTTTTAGTTGAGAAATAGGGTAAAGGACCCTGTCTGTGTAGACTACAGAAAGTTGAACACTGTCACCCGCAAATAGTTCCCGTTGCTGTGCATCGATGAAGCTCTGACAAAAAGACAAAAAATCAAGGTGGAACCTCGAACACAAATGCACCGGCTCAAGTTGTCTCACTTCTCAGGAGAAATTCGGCAAATGCTGAACGACCCTTCTGTATTCAAGCTGAGATTATGTTAGCAACCAGCCCGTTGGGGCTGATGCAACTGCCCAAGTAAGTGAAGCAGTCGACATGTTGAACCACTTTACTTTCTACCATTGAAACGGGAGTACTTGCAAGAGACCAGTAGTGCAACATCGTCCTACATTTCACAGCTGCGAAATGCATCCCAGTCATACTCAGATTTCCTCTCAAAAGTTAGCAAGACCCTGGATTTTATCAGCATCTTCACCTCGTAATACAATACCATCTGCATACTCCAAGCGGAACCGTAGATGGGGTAGATCAAAACTTCAGACCTCAAAAGTACATAAGATTTCGTCAAATCGTGTGTCCACAACCAAGTTAAGAGAAAAAACCGACAGAGCGCGTTGCCACGGACACCCCAAGTTCTCGTGACCTAACATGATACTCAAGTCCTCAAACGTCTCTCGTAACTATATCGGAGAGTCATATGTGTCTGAGCTGAATGTGGGTGATTGGTTTGTTTGTAGGAGGTGTGTGTTGAAGGTGGGAGGTGATTTGTTGTGGGTAGTTGTTTGTGCTGTGTGTTTGTGTGTTATGTTTGTTGTTTTTGATGAGATGATAGTGTGTTGGTTATATTTATTTGTTTTGTTATTCATGAGATATGATGAGGTTGAATTCACGACGGTCTGTTGACGGTCATATGATAAAGTTGTGAACACTGAGTTGTTATTGTTTGTTTGTGATGAATTGTGTGTGTTGGTGTAATTTTGGTGTTTAGTGTTGATGGTGTATGTTTTTTTCCATTGCAGGTTGTTTATGTAGTCATGGTTGTGAGTGGCGTGAGTCGTCGTGTGGTATGATGTGGTTGAAGTTGAGGAGGCTATTCTGTGTTGGTGTTTGAAGTGAGGTGAGTAATTGTGTGGAGTAGTATTGTGTAGTGTAGTGTAGTTGTTGTTGTTGTTGCGTGTGTGTGTGTGTGTCAGTGTAGATATATGTGTATATATATATATATATATATATATATATATGTATGTATATATATGTAGTAGTAATTATTTGAGTGTATGTGTATCTGGTGATGTGATTCCAGCTCACATCGACCCATATGGTATGAGAGTGACTTGTATTATCTGATGGATGTGACAAGACCGACTATATAGTGGTCTATATTTTGATGTTTGACGAGTGTATATTGTTTCAGTTTGTCTGATTCGATGTTGTTTTGTTTTGTTTTTTTCTGTTAATTGCAGTTGGGTGTTCAATCGTTTGTAGGGTGTATATGAGGGATACGGTTGAGTTTTGTGTTAGTACGTGTTTTGTGATTGGAGGTGATGATGATGTAGCTGTGACGTTGATGAATATTTTGATTTCTGGTAAGTGTTTTTTATTTGTTGGTGTTATGTGATGGTATGGTGTGGTATGGTATGGTATGGTGTTGTATGGTTTGTGTATTGTGTGAGTGAGTATTGTTGATTAGTTGTGTGTTGTATGAAATGTTGGTATAGAGTGTTGGTGTTTGTTGTTGTTAAGTGTTGTTTTGTTTGTGTTGTGTTGTGTTGTGTTGTGTTGTGTTGTGTTGTGTTGTGTTTTGTGAAGTGTTTAGAGGAGGTTTTTTGTGTTTGTTGTGTATGTTGTTGTGGATTGTTTTGTGTTTAGTTTTTGTGATGAAGCGTGTGAGTGTGTGTTTTTGAGGCGATGAGGATTGTGTTGGTGGTGTTGATGGTTGTTTAGTAGTGTGTTTGTTTGGGAAGGCAAGGGGTGTGTTTTATGTTTGTTGTGTGTATGTTGGTGGTGTGTGTGTTTGAGGTTGTGAAGGTGACAGAAGGCGTGGTTGCGGTGATAGTGGGATGCAGTGAGGCAGGCAGTGAAAGTGTGATTGGTGTAGGAGAGTGTGATTGGGGCGAAGGTGTTGGTTGAGAGTGAGTGTTATGACTATGTTGGAGAGTTGTATGTGTCTGAGCTGAATGTGGGTGATTGGTTTGTTTGTAGGAGGTGTGTGTTGAAGGTGGGAGGTGATTTGTTGTGGGTAGTTGTTTGTGCTGTGTGTTTGTGTGTTATGTTTGTTGTTTTTGATGAGATGATAGTGTGTTGGTTATATTTATTTGTTTTGTTATTCATGAGATATGATGAGGTTGAATTCACGACGGTCTGTTGACGGTCATATGATAAAGTTGTGAACACTGAGTTGTTATTGTTTGTTTGTGATGAATTGTGTGTGTTGGTGTAATTTTGGTGTTTAGTGTTGATGGTGTATGTTTTTTTCCATTGCAGGTTGTTTATGTAGTCATGGTTGTGAGTGGCGTGAGTCGTCGTGTGGTATGATGTGGTTGAAGTTGAGGAGGCTATTCTGTGTTGGTGTTTGAAGTGAGGTGAGTAATTGTGTGGAGTAGTATTGTGTAGTGTAGTGTAGTTGTTGTTGTTGTTGCGTGTGTGTGTGTGTGTCAGTGTAGATATATGTGTATATATATATATATGTATATGTATGTATATATATGTAGTAGTAATTATTTGAGTGTATGTGTATCTGGTGATGTGATTCCAGCTCACATCGACCCATATGGTATGAGAGTGACTTGTATTATCTGATGGATGTGACAAGACCGACTATATAGTGGTCTATATTTTGATGTTTGACGAGTGTATATTGTTTCAGTTTGTCTGATTCGATGTTGTTTTGTTTTGTTTTTTTCTGTTAATTGCAGTTGGGTGTTCAATCGTTTGTAGGGTGTATATGAGGGATACGGTTGAGTTTTGTGTTAGTACGTGTTTTGTGATTGGAGGTGATGATGATGTAGCTGTGACGTTGATGAATATTTTGATTTCTGGTAAGTGTTTTTTTATTTGTTGGTGTTATGTGATGTGATGGTATGGTGTGGTATGGTATGGTATGGTGTTGTATGGTTTGTGTATTGTGTGAGTGAGTATTGTTGATTAGTTGTGTGTTGTATGAAATGTTGGTATAGAGTGTTGGTGTTTGTTGTTGTTAAGTGTTGTTTTGTGTTGTGTTGTGTTGTGTTGTGTTTTGTGAAGTGTTTAGAGGTTTTTTGTGTTTGTTGTGTATGTTGTTGTGGATTGTTTTGTGTTTAGTTTTTGTGATGAAGCGTGTGAGTGTGTGTTTTTGAGGCGATGAGGATTGTGTTGGTGGTGTTGATGGTTGTTTAGTAGTGTGTTTGTTTGGGAAGGCAAGGGGTGTGTTTTATGTTTGTTGTGTGTATGTTGGTGGTGTGTGTGTTTGAGGTTGTGAAGGTGACAGAAGGCGTGGTTGCGGTGATAGTGGGATGCAGTGAGGCAGGCAGTGAAAGTGTGATTGGTGTAGGAGAGTGTGATTGGGGCGAAGGTGTTGGTTGAGAGTGAGTGTTATGACTATGTTGGAGAGTTGTATGTGTCTTTGCTGAATGTGGGTGATTGGTTTGTTTGTAGGAGGTGTGTGTTGAAGGTGGGAGGTGATTTGTTGTGGGTAGTTGTTTGTGCTGTGTGTTTGTGTGTTATGTTTGTTGTTTTTGATGAGATGATAGTGTGTTGGTTATATTTATTTGTTTTGTTATTCATGAGATATGATGAGGTTGAATTCACGACGGTCTGTTGACGGTCATATGATAAAGTTGTGAACACTGAGTTGTTATTGTTTGTTTGTGATGAATTGTGTGTGTTGGTGTAATTTTGGTGTTTAGTGTTGATGGTGTATGTTTTTTTCCATTGCAGGTTGTTTATGTAGTCATGGTTGTGAGTGACGTGAGTCGTCGTGTGGTATGATGTGGTTGAAGTTGAGGAGGCTATTCTGTGTTGGTGTTTGAGGTGAGGTGAGTAATTGTGTGGAGTAGTATTGTGTAGTGTAGTGTAGTTGTTGTTGTTGTTGTTTGTGTGTGTGTCAGTGTAGATATATGTGTATATATATATGTATATATGCGTACATAAATATATATATATATATATATCCATGTATGTAGTAGTAATTATTTGAGTGTATGTGTATCTGGTGATGTGATTCCAGCTCACATCGACCCATATGGTATGAGAGTGACTTGTATTATCTGATGGATGTGACAAGACCGACTATTTAGTGGTCTATATTTTGATGTTTGACGAGTGTATATTGTTTCAGTTTGTCTGATTCGATGTTGTTTTGTTTTGTTTTTTTCTGTTAATTGCAGTTGGGTGTTCAATCGTTTGTAGGGTGTATATGAAGGATGCGGTGGAGTTTTGTGATTGGAGGTGATGATGATGTAGCTGTGACGTTGATGAATATTTTGATTTCTGGTAAGTGTTTTTTTGTTTGTTGGTGTTATGTGATGTGATGGTGTGGTGTGGTATGGTATGGTATGGTGTTGTATGGTTTGTGTATTGTGTGAGTGATTATTGTTGATTAGTTGTGTGTAGAATAGTGTGTTGTATGAGATGTTGGTATAGAGTGTTGGTGTTTGTTGTTGTTAAGTGTTGTTTTGTGTTGTGTTGTGTTGTGTTGTGTGTGTGTGTGTGTGTGTGTCAGTGTAGATATATGTGTGTATATATATGTATATATGCGTACATAAATATATATATATATATATATATATATATATATATATATATATCCATGTATGTAGTAGTAATTATTTGAGTGTATGTGTATCTGGTGATGTGATTCAGCTCACATCGACCCATATGGTATGAGAGTGACTTGTATTATCTGATGGATGTGACAAGACCGACTATATAGTGGTCTATATTT